CTGCCTGCAGGAAGTGCCTGGTCCAGTCAGGGAAGAGGTTACCTGAACCACAAAGCCTCATCCTCAGTCTGGCTGCCAACATGAAGAGCTACAGGGCATAGAAGGGGCAGCTGGGATGGCTGAGGTCTGCGTCACGTGGGCAGGGAAGCTTCCCAAAAAAGATCAGTTCCCATCCTACTGCATGCCAGCCAAAGTGCTGTACACTATCTCATTCTTTCCCCCAAGAAGCCAGAAGAAAGATGTGATTAGACCCAGTTAGAGGGGAAGAAAGCAGGTTCACAGAGGTGGTGATGTGCCTAAGGTCACATACCTGGTGGGTAAAAAGATGGGATTCAAACTCAAGTCCGTCTGGCTGTTGGGGAAGGGCAATGAGCAGAGGTCAGAAGATAGGAAAGCACAGGGGTCTCCGGGATAGTGAGGGGGTCAGCCTGTTCCCACGTGCCAGATGCCGAGGGACCCAAAGATGACAAAGTTCTAGGAGATAAAACATTAATCAAATAAAATGCCGAGAAGGAAATGTAGACATATTCCAGGGGGTGCTCAGAAGGGCAAGAGTGCCTTCAACTGGAGTCCTTAGAGGAAGCGTCACCTTCAGGTGAGGTTAGAAGTAAAGAATGCAGGTGGCAGGACCTACCCACGTGGTGGCCGGGAGGGAGGAAAGTACAAGTATGTTCAGCAGGGAAAAGAGATCTGTTTCAACCCAGTGCACTGTCTCAGCACTGTGCCAGGCAAGCACAGAGATTACATGTCAAATCGGACGTTATGGACGACTCTTGAAAGTGATGATCACTTCAGCTATGGGTGAGAGCTCAGCCTGGAGTGATGGCAATTCCATCGAGGCCCTGGATCACTGGGCAGATCAAAAGATCTAAGGCTCAAAGGGGGTCACGCAGAGCAGACTCCAGGCCCCTGCCCATTGCAATGGGAGCCAGCACCCAAATACCCACAGCTCTGCAGTTCCAGCCTCGCCAAGTGACTCACCCCAACCAAGGCATCCGTCTCCTTCCAGAGTGTGGGGCAGAGGGGGGCAGCCCAGACTGTGAGTCCAAGGGGCAGAAACAACTCTGATCTTGACTGTTATGAAATAGTAATTATAGTACAAAAGCCTATCGAAAGAGTGAAACCCTTCCACAGAAGCAGATATTTTCCAGTGCAAATAGAGGCTTCTCTCACACCCCTAAACAGACAAAATGCCAAGCACCTAGCTGAGAGAGCCAGCCTGCCATGGCCAGGGGGCTTCCTTGACATTGTGCACATTTCTGAGAGAGGATAAAGTACCCACAGCCTGATCTGCAGGGATATAGCACTGCTGGGTGGTCTCTGGGCACCAAGATTGGCCCTGGGCTTCAGGGTACATTCACTTTTTCTAAACAGTTTGCTGAGCTCTTGCAACATGAGCAGACACGGTGCTGCGCACCGTGGTGAGCACTATGCAAGAGTAAGCCCCTTTTTTAAACACGACCCATGCAGTTTACATAGCATCCTCATACCACCTCCTTTGGTCCTTGCTAAAATCTTGAGGAATCACTGGCAAACCATGCACTTTTATTTCTTTTGTTTGTGTGATTGCCTTTTTTTCTTTTTTACAGATTTGTTGAAATACAATGATGCACATTAAACTTAGAGTGTGCTACTTGATAAGTTTTGACTAGTGAATAGACTTGTGAAACCATCACAAAATCAAAATAAGAAGCATAAACTTCACCCCTACAGTCTTGAGCCCCTTTGTAACTCTGCCCTCACCCTCTCCATCCTCATCCCCAGGCAGTTGCTGATCTGCTTCCTGTCATTCTAGATTAGTTTGCATTTTCTAGAATTTCATATAAATAGAATTATTCTATATGCGTATCCTTTTTATCTAGCTCCTTTGACTCTGCATATTTTCTTATTACAGATGAAAAAATGGAGTCTGGATGAGGTAATGCAAGCAGTCAGTAATCACAGAACTGTAGAGGCAATGCAGGTGTCCTGGCCCTGAGCCCATGCACCAACCACCACCCCTCATTCATTCATCACTCATTCATTCATTCACTTACCAGAGATGAATTGCATGCATAGGTGGGCTAGCCAAGTGGTGCATAAGACAGACATGGTCCCCGCCTTCATGAGCTTACAACTCTTCATTCCTTCATTCATTCACCTACTTAACAAGCAAGTGCTTAGCAAATAATCACTCTACATCCACAGGATACACTGTTTGAAATTGGCACTGCCCCACTACCTCCAACACCACCCTGCCCCTCATCAGCCACCCTCCTACCTGCAACTTTGAGCTGGACACTGGGGTGATGCAGGTGGGATCAGAGGGGAATCATGTCCTCCAAGACCAAGCAGGCTGATAGGAAAAGCTCTGCAAAACACAATCATGTACCCTGAAAACTTGCAAGAGAGCTGAAGAGTGAAGGCTGACCCCATGGAAGCTGGTGCTCCAAACTGAGGACAAAAGTGAGCATCTACACAAGCAGACTAGCAGCACAGGGAGACAGAGGGCTCTCCCAGACACTGGCCAGGGCAGGCTCCTGGGACAAGGTAGGATCTGAACAGTCCCCAGATTGGCAGGGAGGAATAGATAGTCGGGGGAGGGCAGGGGAGTAGAAAGCATATGAGAAGCAGGAGCAAAACAAGGATGAAGACATGGAGTCGGGACTGGGCCGAGCAGAAGGGGAGAATAGTGAGCTGAGAATTCCTTCTGCAGTTCTTCACGTGAAACATGCTTTCTACGAGCATGTTATATTGGGTCTATGTGTGGAGCAGAGGGGAGGAAAGTGTAAAGGGTGATTTTTGTAATTTTACAATTTACGTTTACAATTTACAAAGTGCTTTCACTGTTATTACCTTATTTCATTCTCAGTATAATCTTTGAGATGGGAATTACTATTATTTTTACCCACTTTATAGATTAGAAAGTTGAGTCATAAAACCCAATTATTTGCTATAAAATATACACTCCTAAGTGGTGGGGCAGAGCCTCATACCAGGTCCTTATCCTCAAGACAGTTCTCCTTTCTCTCTGTTTTAATGATTAACGTTTACTACTAATGGGGCAGGTGGAGCCGCCTGCACAGCACATCTCTATAGACCACAGAATATGCTGTTTGACCTTGGCACTGTCTGCCACCTCCACACCATCAGACCCTCATCAAACACCCTCCTATCTGTCACTCGACCTGGGGGTGGAGATGACAAAGAGGCACCTAGGAGGCGGGGAGAAGGGAAATGGCCTGGGTCCCAGAAAAGGAAGTTAATTATTTGGCCAGAGAAGCTCTCCCTAATCCCACAAGCTTGTTGCCGCTGACCTCCAGAGAATTTCCTGATAAGGGTGACTCTAGCCTTGGCTAGAACCATGGAAGTGGTTCCCAAACCTTGCCCAAAGCTCACTGAAGGTACTCGTTCCGCTAAGAAAGCGGGACTGATTCACACCTGGAAGATAATCAGCAGGGAGCACCACCTGCGATCCAAGACCCCATGGGAGAAAATGGTGCTTCAAAGACACAAGATGAGCACAGAGCTGGAGTCCCCCACTGACAGCCATCCAGCTGCCAAGCAGTTCAGGAAAGGCCCCCAAATCATTATGCGAATCACTGTGAAGGGATAGCTACATTTCTCCAGGGCTTACCATGTACAGACCAGGATTTGAGCTCGGGTGGACTGATTCTATTCTCAGATTCCATCCTGCCTCCCAGCCATCCTACTGCTCGCTGAGCCTTGCACAGCAGGCTGGCATCTGGCATGCTTGGCAGTGGGCACATCCTTCCTCATTCCACAGCTGAGGAAGCAGTAGCTCCATGAAATGAGGCTGTTTGCAATAGCCACACACTCCTGAGAGGTAGAATGGGTACTCCACCAGTGCTGACCAACCAGACTTCAGCTCATCACTCGACACATGGCACCTGAACTGAGAAAAGGGGTCATGGGGTGGAAAGAGCTCTGGGCCCCTGACAATTCTGTGGCCCTGGCCTACAGCTCCCCACAAGGCTCGGCTCCCATATAGGGACTCCATGGTCTATCGGGAAAGGCCCTGGGCCAGAAGGCTGTGGCCAGGTTTAGGTCAGGACTCCGTAGCACTAGTTATGTGACCTTGGGAAGTCACTTTGTCCCTGTGATTTGCTTTCCCCATCTGCAAAACAGAGATAACATCTAATCTCCCATGATTATTGTCATCTAATGAGGTAAGTGAATGTGGAATCACTTTGAGAAGACTACAACACTACACTGCAGGTTAGCCTTGTCCCTGTAAAGCAAACCTCTCCAAGGCTATGACCACTACAGATTTTGCCTGAAGCTAAGTCTCTTACTTCTCTCCCATTCCAACCCCGAGCCTGCCTAGCTTCGGTTGAAATTGAAGCTAGAATGAACCTGAGGAAAGAAATATTAGTCTATGTGTATAGATGTCCAAGCCCACTGGGCATGATTTCCTAACCCCAGCTCCAGCACGCGCACACACACACACAAACACACACACACAATTATTTACTTCCTTCCCACCTAAAATGATTTCTCAGAATGAAATTACTCCCTATGGACACCTTGGGCCCAGGCTAAAAAACTTCCAATTGCCGGTAGTTTCTAAAGTGCTTGTTATGTGGGAAAGTTGACAAAAAACAACAATAGCTATAATATAGTGATCTTTCTTTCCACCAAGCATTCTACACATGTTATCTCATTTGAGGTACCTTCAAAACAACTCTAGGAGGTATTTCCAGGCGAGGGGTCGTTTAGAGGACACTGTCGATTGGCCAGCCCAGCCTCTTGTTTTTCCTTTCCAAACGAATCCCCACTGGGTCCACAGGTCTGGTTCCATCCTTCACCACTGGGTCCAGGAGCAGGGGTGGAGGTGACGCAAAAGGGTTGAATTCCAGATATATTTTGAAGACTTGCAGACATGACCAAAAGGATGTGTGAAGGACTGGCTGTTGCTGTGAGAGGAAGAGAGGCATTACGAATGAGATTGGGCATGGAGACGTGTTTGGGTAGACAGAAGGCTTCATGCAAATACAAGATCATACTTTTTATTATTAAAGAATGTTAACTTCCTCTTTTAGCATGGCCCCTCTGCCATCACATATGAAGACCATCCTTTGCTGGGGAGAATCTCTCCCTCTTTGCCAGGATCCTTTTTTTTTTGGCAATTTCTCCTAGTTATTAGTTTATGCAAACTCAGGGGTTCAAAATGATTTCAAGGGAAGCATGTTGCCAAAATAACCATGATGTTCCTTCCCAAGCTACAAATAAGTCATTGATTAGCCCACTGGTATGCCTTACCTCAATAAACAAGGGCCAGTTGTATTCTGCCCTGGATCCTGTATAATGAACTTCTTCTTCTCCATAGCTCACAGGAGGCAGCAAAGGCTGAGGATCTTCATGCTTCTTCCCTGGCTCCCCTAGAATGGATGTGTGTGGCTGGAAAGAAATGGAGGTTGCGCTGGTCAATTTTGATAACTCAGATGAAATCCAAGAAGAGCCAGGCTATGCCACAGACTTCGACTCAACCAGCCCAAAAGGCCGGCCTGGGGGCAGCTCCTTCTCCAACTGGAAGATCCTCATCAGCGACAGCACCAACCATGAGACGGCCTTCTCCAAGCTTCCGGGAGACTATGCTGACCCCCCAGGGCCTGAGCCAGTGGTCCTGAATGAAGGAAACCAGCGGGTGATCATTAACATTGCTGGGCTGAGATTTGAGACCCAGCTCAGAACCCTCAGTCAATTCCCAGAGACTCTCCTGGGAGACCGGGAGAAAAGGATGCAGTTCTTTGACTCCATGAGAAATGAGTATTTCTTTGATCGGAACCGGCCCAGTTTTGATGGAATCCTATATTATTACCAATCTGGTGGGAAAATTCGGCGCCCAGCCAATGTTCCTATTGATATCTTTGCTGATGAAATCTCTTTCTATGAGCTGGGTAGTGAGGCCATGGACCAGTTCCGGGAGGATGAAGGCTTCATCAAAGACCCTGAAACACTGCTACCCACCAATGACATCCACCGTCAGTTCTGGCTCCTCTTTGAATACCCTGAGAGCTCCAGTGCTGCCCGTAGTGTGGCCGTGGTCTCAGTGTTGGTTGTGGTCATCTCCATCACCATCTTCTGCCTGGAGACACTGCCAGAGTTCCGGGAGGATAGGGAGCTGAAGGTGGTCAGAGAACCCAATCTCAACATGAGCAAGACAGTCCTCTCCCAGACCATGTTCACTGACCCTTTCTTCATGGTGGAGTCTACCTGCATCATGTGGTTCACCTTTGAGCTGGTGCTCCGGTTTGTGGTCTGCCCCAGCAAGACTGACTTCTTCAGGAACATCATGAACATCATTGACATTATTTCCATTATCCCCTACTTTGCAACTGTCATCACAGAGCTTGCCCAGGAGACAGAGCCGAGTGCCCAACAGAACATGTCCCTGGCCATCCTGAGGATCATCCGCCTGGTGAGGGTCTTCCGCATCTTCAAGCTCTCCCGCCACTCCAAGGGGCTGCAGATCCTCGGGCAAACGCTGAAGGCGTCCATGCGGGAGTTGGGGTTGCTCATCTTCTTCCTCTTCATTGGAGTCATCCTCTTCTCCAGCGCAGTCTACTTTGCTGAGGTGGATGAGCCAGAGTCCCATTTCTCTAGCATTCCTGATGGCTTCTGGTGGGCAGTAGTCACCATGACAACTGTAGGTTATGGGGACATGTGCCCGACCACCCCAGGGGGGAAGATTGTGGGCACTCTGTGCGCCATTGCAGGGGTCCTCACCATTGCCCTCCCTGTGCCTGTCATTGTCTCCAACTTCAATTACTTCTACCATCGGGAGACTGAGAATGAGGAAAAGCAGAACATCCCAAGTGAAATTGAAAGAATCCTCAACGGTGTAGGCTCAAGAATGGGCAGCACAGACTCTCTTAGTAAGACCAATGGTGGCTGTTCCACAGAGAAGTCCAGGAAGTGATCAGTCCAGGGCTTCTTGGGTCCATCCTGTCTCTCTTCTCTCTTCTCTCTCCCTCACTTTTTCCCCTCTTCTTTCTCTCCCTTCCTTCTGCCTTCCCTTCCTCCCTTCATTCCTTCCTCTTTCCCACTCCCTTCTCTCACTTCATCTTTCCAAAGACCAAAATGTATCTTTTGTGATCAATAAGTATCTCTGACTACAAGCTATTTTAATAAGCCCATACTTCTACTGTATTTTCTAAATTGTTTATTTTCAATACGTTATAGAAAGATTTGGGTCTCTTTTCCTATGAAGAGATAGTTCAAGTTCCCAGACCAGAAATATTGGTATCACCTGGGAGCATGAAAATGCAGAATCTAGGCCTACTCTGACTTACTGAATCAGAATCTGCAGTTTAACAAGATCCCAAGTGATTCATTTGCACATTAAAGATTAAAAAGCACTGGTTTTGGTCTTCCTACGAGGAAGCATATGAAAAGACCAAGGGTTGCTGTAAGCAAAGAGGAAGAGCTCAGACTTATTTAATTACAATAATAATCATACCTTGTACTTGTGTAGCACTGCATAAATTTTCCAAAACACTTTCACCCACATTATCTCACTGCATCTTAGAATAATCAGTAAAGCAGATTTGATTATTATTCGATTTGATTATTATTCCCACGTTATAGGTGAACAAACCAGGGGAGAGCAACTTACCTAAGGTCACCCAGAAACAGTGACAGAGTCCACCAAACTCTCAGAACAAGGGAGTAGAATTGGGATTCCCCAAAGGACAGGGAAAGAAACCTCCACTCTGTCCCTCCCCCATCTACCCGGTCAAATAAGAAGGCCTTGTGCTGTCCTCAGTCCCAGCACCCAACACGTGGCCACTCAAAGACATTTCAACACCAGAACAATGCCTCTGGGTCACAGACCACTGCAGCTCCACTCCACAAAACTCCCAACACACAGTCCTGGCTGTGTCTGTCAGGGTTCTCCAGAGAAATGGAACCAATAGGGTGTGTGTGTGTGTGTGTGTGTGTGTGTGTGTGTGTGTGTGTGTATTTATATGTGTACATATATACACACCGAGAGAGAGAGATTTCTTGTAGGGAACTGGCTCCCGCAATTATGAAGGCTGAAAAGTCCCATGTCCACAGGGTGAGTCAGCAAGCTGGAGATTCAGGAGCACCATGGTACAGTTCTGGTAGGAAGGCCAGCAGGCTCAGGCCCCAGGAAGAGCCGATGTTTCATTTCAAGCGATAAGGCAAGAAGAAAACAATGTCCCAGCTCAAAGGTAGTCAGTAAGAAGGAATGGCCCAGTGCTTGGGGTAAGGAATCAGCCTTTTTGTTCTATGCAGGCCTTCAACTGATTGGATGGGGCCCACACACGTTAGGGAGGGCTGTCTGCTTTACTTAGTCTACTGATTTAAAGGTTAATCTCATTGAGAAACACCCCCACAAACACACCCAGAATAATGTTTGACAAATATCTGGGCACCCTGTGGCCCAGTCAAGTTGACACATAAAATTAGTCATCACACAGACAGCCACCCAGCTCCACACAATCCTGCAAGACACAGCGCTGCAACCACGGATGCCTCCACACAACTTCCACTTCATAGTAAGCTGGCTGATGTGGGAGAAAGCCGCTTCTCTTTTCTTTTGTCTTTATCTCCTAAAAAGCTGAATTCAGTAATCTTTACATCTCCTTTCCATCCTAATAATCTCAAATACCTTCTTGCACTTTAACCCCAAGCTTAGAATTAAGCACCAGTCATGCAAAGATCCAGCCTGGGCTTCACACAAGGCATTATTGCCCTGAGACCTAGGTAAACAGGCTCCTGTCCCAGCCCATGAGCCTGAGGATTCCAGACTTCAGAGGGTCTTCCCCACAATTTTCTAAGTTCCCTTCCCATTTCTCCCCTTCAGTGTCCTTTCAGGGCACTCTCCAGTTCCCCACCCACCCCTCTCGCCCAAGTGACTGGGGCTGACCAGATGCCCCATGGAGCTCCAGGCCTCACACCTATGGAGTCCTCTGAGGCCTTATGCCAGGCTCTGGTTCCAGGATGGTGGCCTGGTGAGCAGATTGTCCTCGCTGGTCGGTTTACAGAGCCACACAAACTTGGGTGCCAGAATGATGAAAACATTTTGATTTAGGGTGATGCAAATGTTTATCTGTACAATATAAAACCTACTTGCCCAAGACCTCAAGGACCTGAGGGGGCGCCTTAACACGGGAGCCCACATGCCCACATTCAAGCCTCTGGCAGGCATGCCATCACAATCCTTTACACCAAAACCTCTCCCCTACGAGGGCTATGTGGGGACACTGTGCCCCTCACATCAGCCCTCTGAGGTAAATATCAGCACCCCCACTTTGCCATGTGAGGAACTGGTTTAGAAAGATCCAAGGGCACACAGCCAGGAAGCAACAGAGAAGGGATTCGAACCTAGATCTCTTTGATGCCAAAATGTGCCTCTTCATGCTTCCTAACCAGAGCGGTCTCCACTGGGGCAAGCAAGCTGCGGCTGTGGTCATGCAGACAGGCTTGGTGCTCTCCTGGGATCAGGGAGGCTGCTTCTCCAGAGGCCTCTGCCTTCTCCCTCCCACTGACTCTGCGTTCAGCGGCAGGGCCACATGCTGGCCCTACACCATTGCATGTTGCAAACACAGTGGAATAATCAGACCCCAGGATAGGCTGGGCCGGTGACCCCAGAGGCCAAATGGAGTCCCAGGGATTGCAGCCCTAGGCTTTCTCTTCCTGAGGCCCTGCCAGAAAGAGTATAGGCAGAGCAGGGCAGAGAGGAGCCACTTTTTCTTTGGCTAATCTAGTTACCCTTACAGCCTTAGAAGGGCCCGATCATGAGAGTCTGATACCCAGGAAGCAGGCCCTGCCTTCAGGCTGGTGCCAGTGACTGCAGCTGCAGAGGCAAGCCCTCCATTCCCAGTGAGGCAGGTGTCACAGTCTCTGTGCACCAACACTGGATCATCGGATTCTTTCTTAACCACCCAGGGCAGGAGAAGAGCTATGGGAGCCCCTCCCACCATACATCTGCCCAGCCTCCTGTCCGCAGTGATATCTGTTGTCTGTAGAGGAGCACCCAGATGACTCACTGACAAACAAAAAGGAGAGAGGCGGGGAAGGCAGAGCGGGGCTTCGAGGGGCAGTGTGGAGCACAGAGAGGAAGATGTTCCCACGACACATGCGGAGAAAGGACTTGTCAGCAGCCAGGCTGGGACAACCCTGCTTTTAGAAGGAGCAGAGCAAGGCCTGAGGCCTTCATTCAGTGAATTAAGATGTACTGAGCTCCTACTGTGTGGCAGGCACTTTATAGCCCCTGAATAAAGATGCTGGATAGAAGAAAAGGACCCTTTTTTAACTTTTACAGTAAAAATAAGCAAAAAACGTGAGAGAAACAGGACATTTTCAAGGGGTGATACAATTAGCAAAGGGTTTTCAAAACTTGTGTTTTCTTTTCCATCATAATATACCAGCTGTCTTTGCAAAGAACTGTGCCATTTAGAACTAATGGTTGTGCTCTGCTCATCATTCTCTCTTTTTTTTTTTTTTTTTTTTGAGATGGAGTCTCACTCTGTCACCCAGGCTGGAGTGCAGTGGCGCGATCGCAGCTCACTGCAAGCTCCGCCTCCTGGGTTCACGCCATTCTCCTGCCTCAGCCTCCCGAGTAGCTGGGACTACAGGCGCCCACCACCACGCCCAGCTAATTTTTTTTTATTTTTAGTAGAGACGGGGTTTCACCATGTTAACCAGGATGGTCTTGATCTCCTGACCTCGTGATCCGCCTGCCTCGGCCTCCCAAGGTGCTGGGATAACAGGCTTGAGCCACCACACCCAGCCATATTATTCTCTTTTCAAAAGTTGTATAAACCATAAAACATTTTGAAACTTAAGGGTAAAACCTTCTAAACTTGGAGTTGAAGTACCTGGCTAAGTTGGTATTAATTGTATGACTTGGACATCAATGAGCTTCAGTTTCCTTAAGTAGAAAATGGAGATTTAAAAATACCTAACTAGCAGCAAACATGGTCACGTTCTCCCCACCCACTCCACCCCAGCAAGGAGCAGGCCCTGAGTCCCCCCTGTTGTCCTCCCTCACCCAACCTGGCTAATAGGGATCACAGGCCCTCCACAGCCCACCAGAGTGGCTGCTCAGGGCCCACCCTCTGCTGGACTTCCTGTTTCTCTGATTCTCATACTTGTGTTCAACCTCCTTAAGCTTACTTCCAAATCTGGAAACACGGACAAAATTACTTCTGCCTCGCAGGCTGAGGACTCAGTGATGGAGTTTTACTAAAAGTAATTTATGGCTGTAAAGCACTGCAAAAATGAAAGGAACTATGAGTCTTTAAAAGCTTTCCTGTGGACCAATTAACACTACCCAAACAAGTATAGAGCTTACCTTTGCAATCTGAGTCAAGGAATGACCTTAAGCAGAAGGCAGCTGATTTCAAAGACAGCATAAATATGGAATTAATAAACATAGGTGGGCCGGGCACAGTGGCTCACACCTGTAATCCCAGCACTTCCAAGGTGGGCAGATTGCTTGAGCTCAGAAGTTTGAGACCAACCTGGGCAACATGGTGAAAACCTGTCTCTACAAAAAATACAAAAATTAGCCGGGTATGGTGGCGGACACTTTTAGTTCCAGCTACTCGGGAAGCTGAGGTGGGAGGATTGCTTGAGCTGAAGTCGCCATGAGCCAAGACTGCACCACTGCACTCCAGTCTAGACAACAGAGTGAAACCCCTTCTCAAAAAAAAAAAGAATTAATAATGTGGGGCATAGACAGAAGTAGTGAAGAGGATAACATCATATTTAATAAACAGTTACAACATTATAAATGCTTTACACGTTTTTCATTTCATCTTAACAACCACTATAAAGTATTATTTCCATTGGCAGACAAAACCGAAGCTTCAAAAAGTTAGGTAACATTTCTTTGTGGCGTATTGTGGGTGTATTAATCTGTTCTCACACTGCTAATACCAGAGACTGGGTAATTTATAAAGGAAAAAGGTTTAATGAACTCACAGTTCCACATGACTGGGGAGGACTCACATTCATGGTGGAAGGCAAATAAGGAGCAAAGT